AAGAAGTGAAATCTGCAGAGACAGAGTTTATTGAAGGACAGTGAGAACATGAGAGATCCAGAACCCTGCAGAATGAAACACACTCAAGAACAAACAGGTTGGTGTTTATTCTTCATCCTTCATCAGTGAAGCTGAAGAACAATAAGAATATAATGCTTCCAGTAGTTTTAATTTCATTCACAGTGCTAATTCAAAGTGCTTTACGTATGAAAAGTTAAAATATTAATTAAAACAAATGAATGAATTAAAACAGTTAAGAATAAAATACAGTTCTCTCAGTTTGGACGTAGCACAGTACTCATTCAGTAAATGCACAGCTAAACGGATGTATTTTGGGTCTAGATTTAAATGTAAATGATTCTAAATGATAAGGTTTTAGCACATCTGATCTCTTCTGGAAGCTGGTTTCAGCTGCAGGTGGCATAATAGCTAAAAGCGAAACGTGAACCCTTGGTATTTCTAACTGACTCTGAGTGGTCGGTTAGGCTTATATTCAGTGAGCATATCTGCAAGGTAGTGAGGCCCTAGGCCATTAAATGATTTATAGACAAGTAATAATACTTTAAAATCAATCCTGAATGTAACTGGAAGCCAAAGACCTGAGGACTGGTGTGATATGCTCAGATTTTCTGGTTCTAGTCAGCAGCATTTGGTATGAACTGCAGTTGTCTAATGGTCTTTTTGGGAAGGCCTTTTTGAGAAAGGAGTGCATTACAGTAGTCCACCCTATTTGTGATAAAAGCATGAATGAGTACCTTGACTTGACTGGAAACAAAACATCTAATTCTTGCAATGTTTTTGAGATGATTTAGTTATTGCTTTGACATGACTACTGAAACTAAGACCTGACTGCAGAATCACACCAAGATTTCTGATCTGATTTTTTTGTTTGTTTAACCCCTAGAGCCAAGGTATGCATTCACCTTGAGAACTTCATCTTTTTTTTCAAATGCAATGACTTAAATTTTCTCTCTGTTTAACTGAAGAGAGTTTTGGCGGATCCAGCTGTTAATTTCTTCATTACCTTGGTGGAGGGAGTCAATGGGGCTGTAGTTATTTCGCCATAAGGTTAGGTAAACCTGGATATCATCTACATATCTGTGATAGGCAAATTGGTTCCTTCTCATTATTTGCCTTTGTGGGAGCATATGAAATGTTCAGATGCAAAAGCCTCTAAGTGCCATTTGAAATTTTCTTCTAAAATGAGCATTTTTCTCAGGCTCCTATGTGTAGGTTCAGTAATTTTCCTTTAATGGCAATGAATGGGTTCTTTTCATTGCCATTAAAGTCAAATAACTAAGCATAAACATATGGGCCTCAGAAAAATGCTCATTTTAGAAGAAAATTTCAAATGGTACTTAGAGGCTTTTGCATCTGAACTCTTCATATACAGGCTGAACAAGATTGGTGCCAGAATTGAGCCTTGTGGGACTCCACATGTCATGGACATCCACTTAGACTTATGCTCTCTCCCTTCTAAGTATGACCTGAACCATTTGAGGACCATCCTAGAAAACCTGACACAGTTTCCCAGTCTCTCTAGAAGTGTGTTTTGATAGACAGTGTCTGATCTAATAGTACCAGCACTATTTTGCCTGAATCAGAATTTAAGCGAATATAATGTATTAACTTTATGAGCACTGTCTTTGTTCTGTGATGCTGTCGGAAACCAGATTGAAAATTGGGAAGTTATTATCCCATGTGACATTGCAAAGGGATCTCATTATAATATTACCGCTCCTTAATCTGTAAGTTTCCACCCACGGCACCGTTATTTTGATTTTGCAAGCAACAATGGTGTACCAGCTCTAATGCCATGGCGAAAGTTTTTAGGTCCCCGGTGCATCTACCAACCAAGGAAACGTGAAAAAGATTAACCCAGTTACTTTGTTTTGGTAAGCTTTTTTCTGCAAGCGTCTGAGAAAATGAGCACGTCTGATTTCGCGCCCTTGGTGACGTGGCAAAGGGATCTCATTATAATATTACCGCTCCTTAATCTGTAAGTTTCCACCCACGGCACCGTTATTTTGATTTTGCAAGCAACAATGGTGTACCAGCTCTAATGCCATGGCGAAAGTTTTTAGCAAAATATGCTAACTGTTCTGCCTTTGGCTGCACAGACGAGCACAGAACACTGTTTAGAGTACCAGCCTCAGAGGAGATGAGAGATCAGTGGATTTATTGACTTATTTACTGTATATTGCTGCTGCCACACAGATCTAAAGTAAATATGTGATTTATTTCCCAGCAGTTTACCTTCACAGACATAACCACCACGACGAGGCGCCCCCCATAGCGACCCCTAGAGGACGCAGTTCGAAGTTCCATTGAAAGGGAACTTAGTTTAGTACTCACATGCTGTGACAGCCGCTTTCTCTCTGTCTGTGTGCTTCGGATGTGTGCACTCAGAAAACCGTATATTAGAAGTTTAAACTCATATGGTTTAAAACGCATGATTTCAGCGCAATGAACATGATAATCAAAAACAAACATTATCTGAGGTACGAGCTGTAAAGGCCATAGATATGTAAACATATCTATAGTAAAGGCACAGCCCTTTTCTGGAAAAGGGGTGAGGATCAGCAGCTCATTTGCATTTAAAGATACAGGCACGAAAACTGTGTGTTTCTGCTTCCACTCAAAATAGGCATTTTCAAAATGATATAATAAATGATCTGTGGGGTATTTTGAGCTGA